TAAATTTAAAATTTAATAATATAAATCGAATTTAAAAATCCGTAAAATTTCCAAAAAAAGTAAGATTTTTTTTGTATATCATGATAATTTAATAATTTTACTACTATGATAGTCATCTTTCTGGTAAAAAATACTCCACTAGTGTGTTATTATTTTTGATACAAAGATCGAACAAACACAAAGAAGAATTCCTTCGACCTGACTGGACAACCAGCTACTTTTTCGCTAATTCGGGGCCACCGCTTTGACAATTGAGCTACGAATCGAGGCAGCAGATCTTACGAATTTCCTGTGAATGTGCTTGGTGTGGATCATTGTAGAGCGTATAAAGGGCTATTTTGCCTTAGAATATGAATTTCGGAATCCAACTATGTAAATTTTTAATTAACTTTGTAACTTTCCAAATTGTAAGTTAAGCTTATCCGGAATAAAAAGGATTACTTAGTTCTTGGGTTCTCGCGATAGCTACACATTTGGAAATGAAACATTTTTTTTGGATCTGATATGACCTATATTCGTTTTTTCAAAGAAACCAGCGTTTCGGGCTGTTTAGAGATCCCAAGGTCTCGGCTGACTGAGATGGTAATAGCACAGTATAATAAGACAAGTATGGTAGCTCCAGTCATACGCAGCAGCGCGGCTTATATGTGTGCACGCCAGTTGTGTCACACACACAATCGTGTAATAATGAAAGGTGCATGAGACGACCAGTGACATGCAGCGCTAGTGCATCCTAAAAGTATGCGAATGTGTGCGTCCGTACACGGCCCTTGGCGGACGCGCACACACACAAACCGCGCTGTTACGTTTGTATGAAATTACCACTAATCTTATTATAAAGTGGTAATAATTAGTAATATTATTCCATCTCATTTAGCCTTGAACCCACGAACTAAATGGAAATGTAAATGGATTACTTATTTCGGGGAGTCAAAATATTTATTCACGAATTTCATTTATTTTGCCTAATGTGTTAATGTAATAAGTATAATCAACAGCTTGAATATGGCCGAACATTTTGTTATATCCTGTATATTGTTTCAGCACCAACGTACCACGTACTTGTACGTCGATCTAGGAGCTCACTACGAACAACGTTTTGTTTTACATCGTCCACAAAGAAAATAATTTGGTACACTTGATTAAACATTGTTTAGGAATTATCAGAATTAATATGAAGTAGATAAGATTACTACAAAGGCCTATGATACTAGGTATTTTTGTAAGGTATTTATGTTCACTGAATTAAAGATAACTATACTAACTCAAACAATATTTAACTAACCCTAATGTTGCAAAAACCTTTACTACTTTACTAGTCGTATCGGATGCTGCTTAACCTAAACTTCCATTGAAAATTTCGTATTTATAATATTTAAATATAATAAAAAATACACGTTTTGTTTTGTACATGATTAATTTTGATCGTAATTGATATTTGTATAATAGAAAATCTAAATGAGTCTTAGAAAGTACAGTTAAAATATTTATGTTAATTTTATAATAAGCCGGACGTATCCTACAATATCAATATTTTATGGTAACTGTAGGTAACAAAACTGAAAAGCAACGACCGAGAGTGGTCGAATGATTCTTGGCGTATTGTTGTTCGATGAGAGCTAGAGAGAGATTTATCTTGTCGTTGCCTTGTCATGTTATAGTGTTGTCTCATGTCATGCAGTCCTGTATTGTTTTTTCCTTCTCGTCTTGTGTCCTATCTTGCTTCGTTATTGTCTTTAATTGTTGTGCCAAAACAAAAACCGAACAAGCTAGATTGACGCAGAGGCCATGAAAAACCTACATATTAAACACAATACGTGTACGTAGAATTCACCGAATCAATTTTCTTTCCAAAAAATATTATAATCTCCATATAATAAACTTAATATTTATTGACTACATCAACTATGTGATATCATTTAGAAATATGTAGACTTGAAAATAGAGGAGACCACAGATGGGGTAAAAGTTTGCTTGACTGGAGACCCTGAGAAAGGTATAAGAGGTAGGTCGGCAACCGGTGCAGTGGACTGATGACTATGTCAAAGTGGTGGCGGGGAAATAGGATGATGAAGGCACACGACTGGAAGGCGTGCATTCGAAGACACCTACAATTCAGCATTGGGAGGATAGAAGTTGGAAGAAAGAGAAGACGAAAAAGAAACTTGAGAAACTGGATATTGGTAGCGTTCGCCTTAATTTTTATGTACAATTTTCACAAACTTGATCCTGGCGAAAGCCCAAAAAAGTAGAACCTTTAGTAAGCAAATAGATGAAGAAGACGTCTCATTAAACAGTAAAGGCATTATCAGTTATTGTTGATCGAGTCGTATGTTACAAATATTCAATGAGAACTACTATACGTATATCGCTTTTGATCGCGTAATTAGTTATTTCAGAAAACGCCTGACAGTTTTATCTAACAAGGCAGCTGCCATCGCCGAGTTCCCGTCTCAATGTAAAATACTGCTTTGTGAGCAAATTATCTCTTTTACTCCTATAAAACACGCCACGTTACGTATATCACCTCCATCATATAAATTGTGATGTAAATTTAAATTGATGAGTTCTTTTGGATTATGCAGGACATTTACATAAGGTTATATAACTACATATGTTTGTAACCAATTTTATATTGAGATGCGAATCATTAGTTATATTTAATTAATGTGCTGGCAAGGAATGATACTCGATATATTGAAAAGAAAATGCGGAAATCCAGTGTCGCTTTCTAGTTTACGTTATCTGTAGTATTATAATTATTGAATATATTATATTTTATGTATATTCCAGAGGTTTGTTTGTTTATCTTTGTTATATTGTTTCCATATTCACTATCTGCCGTATTTGTTGTAATGTCGTGAGTAAGTCACGAGCTGTCTTCTAGCGACTCGCAAAGAGAGATGGGTTAAAACCCAACCAACTCGCCCGGGTTTTAACCTGGATTTTATCAATTTCTGCCCCAAATTGTGGGCGAAAACGGCGAATACGAAGTTTTCGAATTAATATGAAACCCACCTTGCAATCCTGTGGACTCTCACTTTACTACTAGGGATGCACATGACGATTCGATTTTTATGAAAATCGATTCAATTGTATACGATAATGAGGTTTTTATAGATTCATTTCAATGCGATTTTCAAGCGAATCGATTCAATAGAAAGGCTAAAAATGTAAGCAAGCAATAATCATTTTGTAATAATATTATTTGAATTAAACTCAATTTACAATTAATATTTAGTTGTGTAGGGTTGCTACTGAATGAAAGGCCCCTTGTATACACTCTGTTGTTATTTATTTAGATTTAAAGAAAATATACAATTTCAGTTATCATACAACCCTACGAGGAATGTTCCTCGTCCTAGTTTTGAGGATTAAAGTGGACTGCGGGGCTATCCTCCTTTAACCTCCCTAATGTTACTCCTGAAGACTGCTAGGCTATCGAACAGGAGGAACACTGGCATCAGAGGGGACTGCGGGGCTATCGTCCTCTGAGCCGTCTAGCGAGCGAATGAATCGGAGTTTGCCGGTGCGCGCTTTTTATACCGTTGGCGCTGATTCACATACACTTGTCGCCTATTGTAGTGTGCGTGCGCGTCGTTGTAAACTTCTTGGTAGCTGCATTGTAGATGGTGTTGTTACAGTTGTAAATAGTTCTTGTGGTTTTCTATGTGTGTGTCCATGGCACCCGCGACACAGGGTCTTCCCTAGTGCGGGGCTATGTTGAGTGTGTGTGTGTGCGTTATTATTATTGTCCTCGATTTCGGACGCTAATGGGATTTAACCCGATTAAACCCGAAAAAACCCGGGTGCTTGCCCATCTCTGCTCGTAAATCATATGGTGATTTGAAAAATGTATTTTTTTACGTATATTTTCATAAAAACGACATTTAAAAAACGTTCATACTGAATATCCGTTACGTATTTCACTATTTTCGCTTCGTCGGCTAAAACCTAAATCCCTTTAGGTATTACGGTGAATCCTATTGGATTAACCGAACAATTGACTTTTTATCCTACAAAGTAGAAAAGTTCCACAATGTGCGGTAACCATAAATGTATTAAAAAGGTGGCGTCGTTGAATGAGGTTATTTTAGCAATAAGTCGGAAGCACGACGGCGTCGCTTGTTTTCTTTCGAATCAGAGAGTTGTTATGTTATTATTTACTGTGTTATGATAAGAGGTATAGTCAAACATCGAATAAGGAAGCGAATTACTGTATAATTGCGTGGTAAATATAGTTATCGCCAAAATAAAACCTAATAAAAATATATTATTGTTAACTTATTATTGAATGGATATTCAATTATTTTATGTGAAGTTACTGCACTAGTTTGTTATAATTAATTAATACAAGGATCGAACACTTAGAAAAAAAAACATTATAACAAACTAGTGGAGTAATTTCACAAAAAATAATTGAATATCCATTCAATAATAATATAATTACAGCTAATAGCGACATCCCTCGCCAGGGATGGTAGCTGTAAAGTTACCTGACTGGGTGACGAAATACTTTCATAGATTACTCATAGATGGGGCTACGGCTAAAAAAGGCGTTGAAAACCAAATACAAAGGCCCGACAAAACTACCACATGGAAAAATTCGTGAGGTCCGCTGGTTCGTTCCGTGGCTTAGTTGGCATAGCGACTGACACGGTTTGCTTTCTAGCAAGACGTCGGTTCGAATTTGGCCGGATCAAAGGAAATTTTTCTATTTATTCGATCTTTGTATTAATAATTATAACAATATAATGTTATTTTTATAAGGTTTTAATTGTTACCCTGCTAATATGTTTCATTTTTGGCCTGTAATCTTTCTGTGTATGTGGTGCTAACAGTAAAGAGTTTTCTATCTATCTATCTATTAACTTTTAATGATATCAACCTCAATGTCATTAAATGTACAATACGTTGCGTACAATCAGCGACAGATCATTTTGTCTCTAATCGTACGCTAACAGATATTGGGCAAAAATAAATATGTGGTAGATACTGACCTTGGGCAATGCAGCGAGGCACTGCTGCTTGACATCCCAGACGAGCTGGTCGCGCGGGAACTGCAGGCTCTTCTGCACGTTCAGCTCGGGAACGTGCACGCGCACCAACAGCCAGCCCTCCGTGCCCTCCGAGCACTCGCCCTCCATTACGCTACGCCATCTGAAGACAAACGGAGAATAAAAGTTACTAAAAAAATGTATTCCATAAAAAGCGCGTTAACAATACAGTTCGAATTTTAAATTGACCAATCAAGTGGATGTAACTTCACGACTATATTAGTCGTGAGAAAGTTAAATCGACCAATCACAAAACTTAAATTAAAGTGATATATAACCATTCACATACTGTGAAGAGGTCATAATTAGAATTCTTGAGGAAATTTGTATTCGTTTAGTATATACAAATACAAGGTAATAATTTTTCTTGGAAAAACTTTTTATCGCTGCGTCAGTGATACAATTAAGAAACACAGATATGTATTCTTGTTTTTACAGACGTTAATGACAGGTCTCATGCGAAATCAGTTTGTGTACAAAAACAAGCAGTTACCCAGAGTTGTCTCCAAAAAAAAAAAATTCAGACAACTTTGTATTTTAATCTGTTCAATGATTTTATTTATATCAATATTTGTATGCGAATACGCACTGTCCGGTTGCAGTTCTGCGAAGTTCGAATTACGAATTCCTCACGGCGCCACTGTCTATCGCGCCTTCTAGGAACAAAGTTGTAGATTGCTCATTTATGATATGGACTTTACCTTGTTGGTAGATATTTACGATGTTTAAAATATGAATAGGTATACCTCGTTCATTTTTACATGTATAGGTATTTTAACCTTGGAAATGTGGTCGGCAGAATTTTGAAGTGCAATCAAGGGCAATAATGTCCAAAGAATTATTTCAGAAATAAGTTTTGAAATAATGTTTCCTAAGTCCTTTCAATTGCGAATGCCTCAGAACATTAAATTGGTGACATATTTTTTTTAATCCATAGTACACGTACGTGTATTGTAGGATTAAAAAATTTCGACCATTTCTACTTAGATCGTTTAAGGATTCAATAGGATAAGTTTCAGATGAGAGCATGTTTGTGTATATGACATAGGCTTGGTTCTTTATCAAGTTTTAGGTAAATACACTTAACTAGTACCGCCCTTATCTCACTTTTGTAGATAGCTTATCTAACTGGGCCTCGGTGCACCTGTATTTCTTGGGGAATTATTATGATCTGTTGTAATCGTACCATAACGTCATAATATATTTATTATATAGTACGTTTTTTAAAGGTAGGTAAATAGAGACTCTGTAAGTTTCCGTAATTAGTTGAACCGAGATCTAACTATACAGCCCCTTATACAGTTTTCATCGTCATCATCATCACCATCATCATCAAGTCATTTATACGTCCCACTGCTGGGCACGGCTATCCTCTCAGGCGTGGGTTTAGGCCATGGCCTGGTCACAAAGTATCTCAGTATTTAGTGTTTTTTATTAATATTTGTGTGAATAGTTCCTGTTTAAATTTTATCAAATTTTTGTATATACATTTTTCTTTTATGTTTGTTTGTGTTTTTGTTTCGTAATTATTTATTTGTGTTTTACGTTGAATGTTTTGATCAAGTTTTGTTTTAGTTCTGTTTTGTTCCGTTTTCTCTTAGTTTTTTGTCATTTGTTTTTTGTGGTAAACAAATAAATGTATTTTCTTTATATCTTTTCTTTCAAATTCCAAGAAACTTAGATCCACGGCCTTTGCTTTTTGAGGTAGGTCAAGCCATTAGGCTTTTTACACGGCACAGTTTTCAACAGGCTCTCTCGCTCTGAGATCCAAAGGGGTACCAGAAGCTTATATTGACATCATCCGAGACATGTACCGCGATTCCGAATCCATGGTTAGGACTGCTGTTGGTGACACTAAACCCTTCCCTGTCACAGTCGGAGTTCACCAGGGCTCAGTTCTCAGTCCCTATCTGTTCAGCGTGATATTAGACGAGGTCTCAAGCTCCATCCGAGACACGCATGAGCAACCCCCGTGGATGCTTATGTACGCTGACGATATCGCGCTGGCGGATGCGGATAGAGGGAGACTGGTACGACGAGTGAATGTGTGGAAGGAGTCGCTTGAGAACGGCGGTTTGAGACTAAATGTGGCGAAGACTGAGTACATGGTCTGCAACGCTACAGATCCCCTACCCGTACGCATAGGCGAAGACGCGGTCGAGCCTACGGGCCAGTTTAAATACTTGGGATCTGTACTTAGCGCGTCCGGAGACATCGACTGCGACGTTAGAGCCCGAATCGCAGTCGCTTGGGCAAAGTGGCGTGAGGTGACTGGTGTAATTTGTGACCCCAAGATGCCGGTTAAGCTGAAAAGACAGGTCTATAAATCCATCATTAGGCCTGTTCTTTTATATGGCAGTGAAACGTGGCCCGTACTTGAGCGTCATAAGCAGGAGCTGCGTGTCACGGAAATGAAGATGCTGCGCTGGATGTGTGGAGTTTCACGGAAAGACCGTGTCAGAAACTCCCGCATCCGCGGCAGCCTTCATGTCCGTGACATTGCAGATAAACTGCAAGAAAGCCGCCTACGTTGGTACGGCCACATCTTACGGAAACCGGCTTGCTACGTGGGAAACAAATGTCTGGCTATGCCACCTCCGCCGGGCCCCGGTAGAAGGGGCAGACCCAAGAAGTGCTGGCTTGACGTCGCCAAGGGTGATATGCGTGCCAATGGTCTCACCACTAAGGATGCCGAAGACCGTGCAAAGTGGAGGAGAAAGAGTAGGAAAGCGGACCCCGGGCTCCGCAGCAACCCTGCTGAGGACGCAACCGGGACAACGCTAAGATGAGAGAGAGATGAGAGAGAGAGTTTTCAACAGGCTAAACTAAGACGCCAAGATCGTCCAAATATTGTATATATATGTATTTAACCAGCAGCATAGAAATTCTGTTCGTATGTTTTTTGTCGTTTGATGGAGGACACTTTTATCGCACAACACATGTAATTACTCAAGAATAAGTAATTCAGACTAACTATTACGAATATATATGTATACCAATTACCTACTCATACATTTATTAGGAAATAATTGCATTTTTTTTAAAATAGCATGTAGGCAGCAAACAAGCATACGGCCCGCCTGATGGAAAGCGGTCACCGTCGCCTGTGAACGCCTGCAACACCAGTGGCGTCACAAACGCGTTGACAACCCTTTAGGACTATTCTCAAATCGCTTTTGTAGGACTCCATGCTGTGTTCCTATTTTTTTTGTATCTCTATTCATCAAACAAACGATATGACCATAATCCTGACGATATAAAAAATATCATTTCGATATAATAATTGATAATACTTATCGTAAATATTTATATTTGACGCCATCTGACGCATGGTGGGCGTACTTTATATTTTACGAGTACTTTTATTTATTTCCTTAGTTTCAATTGAAAGTGTTCATGCAAGCAAGTACTGCCACCGTATCTATTTCTGACGCTAAGCAGTAATGTGAGCATTACTGCGTTCCAGTTTCAAAGGGTAAGAAGGAAGCTGGTGAAATTACAGACACATGAGACTTGTCTACTTATGACTCAGGATGACGGGCGCAGTGTCAGCGCCCCTCAGATCATTGCGATTTAAAGCTCTGACGGGCACTACAACCGTGTCATGTACAGGCGTGTCGCTTTCCACCAGGCGCATGACTTGGTCGTCCCGTCACATGGTATTATAAAAAAAATATTTTACTTAGGGCGTGTTCGCATTATTATATGTATGATTGGACGACTGTCGCGTCGTGTCTAGCTGTTCCCACTAGATCGTGACGATAATTCATTGTCGTTTGCATGACAGGATCGCTTAAAATTGTGATTATCAGTCGTCACATTTTTGTCGTGACGTTTTATTTATCGTCTGACGACTGTCGTTCTAGTTGTTCCTATTGCACGGCAGTCTGTCGTCGTAACGACAAAAATATCGCGTACGACAGTTATTCGTGTTTTACTATATGGAAACAACTTCATTTAAATAAACAAGTCACGACACTTTAAACTGCACGGCTATCTGTCGTTACGACATAATGGGGACGAGTCCTTATACTTTACACGTTTTTTTGTCCTTAGTAAAGGAAATAGCACTACAAATCGCGGACAGCCGTAGTCAAAGTGGGGTGTTGCCAATTTATTGGTTTTACCGCAAAATATGGGTAAAATTATTTGAGCACTTAATTTAACCATCAACACCACCAACCCATTATACATTATAGAGAGATTTTCAATTCGGGTTGGAGAATGCACACGTGAAGGATTGTGGACCTATTCTTGGACATTCTCCCACTAGCCTACCACTCTTAAACACCTGGGCAATAAATTACGCTCTAATTATCTTATACTGTATTTAATTAGTCATGCTACAATAATGTCGTGTCACATATACATCAAAGAAATATTTGATGATAGGAATTTTTTGTTATGATACAAGGTTTTGGGTACCTATAAGCATAAATAAACCATTGGTAACATCAATACAGCGTTATATGACTTATCTTACGCTGTAGAAGCGCTTCCAACACGAGATTACTGTGACTTTTGTCGCTAGCGACCGCGTAAATTACTTCACAATTTTGTACGGCAAATTATATAGCGCCCCTAGCGGTCACAAGACGAAACATTTTTTGTATACAAATATTTTACGCGATCGCTAGCGATAACTGTCCCTGTAATCTCATGGTAGAGGCACAGTTCTGTTATTCTATTCGATATCCTAAGTTTAAATGTCGAATTCTTCGGTTTTCGTGATTGTTTACACAAAGGAAATGAAACTATTTTTTTTTTCGGATCCAAAACGCGTATACATTTGTTTTATCAAACAAACCAACTGACTGACTGAGATGGCGTTGTTGTTTTGTTTGAAAAACAAATAAATTAAGTTCAAGTTCTGTAAAACAATATAAGCACTTTCTTAAATATATATTATATGCCTACAAGATGAATCTTCATGACTCGTTTGAAGGACTCCGTGTCATAATAGGGAGGGAATATATGCGGGTAAGGGAGTTCCATTTCAAATTAGCTTTTCGTGTTTAAAAATGTTGACTGTAGAAAACGCTAAGAGCATTTGCGCACTACGTCCGATTCGTATCTCGTTCTCCGTCTGACGTCCGTCCGAAT